TTGTTGGTGTCTCTTAAGTTCATCATTCTTCATCAACTTCCAAGCCTCCCAAGAGGATCTAAAGAACTACAAAGTTTGTGATTTATCCATCTTCTTATTTATTTGGTGTTTAATCTTTCTACAACTTGCAATATGATCCTTGGTGGGTTTAACTTGTTTATGTTATTCAAAATTTATAAGTCTTCTGTTACCCAAAATCTTGTTTTTAAAACTTGTTTTTGAATAAAACCCCAACAAATTGGGGATATTGAAATTTAAGATGAAATTGAAGTGGATTATATAACCTATATGAGATTTGATATAAGTAAATCCAATTAGAATGCTCAAATTCATCCATGATGGTAGAATTATGTATATGCTAGAATTTGAATGGAATTAGGAGAAATGTGATGAAAACAATGGAATCTTTTGTTTTTGATCATTTGATGAGTATATGATACTCATAAACATGAGTTGATACTAATAACATGATTTGAATGCAAAAGACATGAATACTTGAATGATATTTAGTTGAATTTCTGCAATATTTGGCCAAAAGGGCATTTTGGGAAATCTATGGATAACTACATGATGATTGACATATTAGAAGTGAATGGAATTATGAACATGAATTGACTCTCTACATATAATATTGGAACATAAGCATGAATGAATTCTAGTAAAGTTCTACTCTATAGATGATATTGGAACATAAACATGAAGGAATGCTAGTAAAGTTCTAGCTTTAGTGATTGTTTTGGCCCCAAAATGCAATTTGTGGAAACATGGAATGGAATTGAGGACTCCATAGTTATTTTATATACTTACAATGAGATTAATGGTGGTTTTATAATTTGACAACATTTATATGAGTATTCAATGACTTAGGACCAAACTATGCGAGTTTTGGAATGTGAAATTCAAAACTAGACTAGTTAACCCTCTATTTAAAGCTTAAGGATCATAATGATATTAAAGGTTTCAATGAGCACTTAATGGATTAATTAGGGTGTATTTAGATGATAAAACAACTCCTAATCATGTGTGAGAATCTATACAAGTGGTACAAAATGAATTGGAAACAATCTTCAAGAACTATACAAAGTACACGGCTTTAATGAGAAAAAATTGCACATTTGGGAGTGCAGCAGGTTTCACCGTTGGGTTACAGTAAAACCTTTCACAATTACGGTAAATTTTACTATCATTACGGTGAAACTTGTTCCAAAAAGCCTTGTTCTTCACCTATATGTTCTAAAACCTTCCCGAAACCTTTTAAACATATATCTTTATCATATTAAAGCTTAGAAAAAGTTGAGAACCCTTGTATGGGTATTTTGGTCCTTTATTGACTTTTATACATGTTGTATAGTTGGTATTTGAGAGTGTCACTCTAAGGAAAGGAACTAGAAGAGGACTAGCTAACCTTCTTGTGATTGAGATGAGTACGTGTTGGCATTTTGCCACTTTGGGGTACATGACAAAATGATTCTATGATAATGAAATACTAATGCTTTGATATACGAAATGTTTTAAAATGAGAGTGTTAAATGCTTTTCGAAAGGATGTTTTGAAAGAATGCCTTGAAGGCGAGAACGTTTTTGAAAGAAAATAATGTTTTGGAAAAATGAATGTTTGATATGTGAAATGTGTCTTTTCAAAGTATATATTACTAGTAACATATGCTATTATAAATGATGATATAAGTATTGATAATGTGGGAAGTAAGAGTTAAAAAGAAAGTAAAAAAAGAAAGAAATTAAAGAAATAATGAAAACTGCCCGGGCCATGATACCTCATAAGAGGCACCGGAGGAATCTATTGGGGTGGTACTTTCCCGTCACGAAGTAGATGCCCTATTATGATACCTTGGTGGACTGATTTGGTTATGTTTACCTTGGACAACTATGATACCTTGGTGGACTAATTTGGTTATGTCCACCTTGGCCAGTTATGATACCTTGGTGGATTGATGTAGTTATGTTCACCTTGGTCAGTTATGATACCTTGATGGATTGATTTGTTCTTTCTACCTCGTGCTTGGAAATGGAAAAAGAAATCTAATGATATGATATAATATGATCTGACATGATATGATATGATATGACATGATATGATATGATATATGATATGATATGATATGATATGATATGATATGATATGTATGAGATAAGATGATATGATATGCTATGTTGCGTATGAAATGATTTTCATGAAAATGCTTTGAAAGGTTTTTGATAAAAATGTGATAAAGGTTTTGGGTCACAAACCCGCGTATCTCATGAGACACTATTGTCTTATGTATCTCTTTTTAATGACATGTATCTCAGGTTGTACTTAAGGAGAAAATATGATAGATAGAAGTTAGAAGTTAACAGATAGAGAATGGAGTGGTGCATTTCAAGTTCCTTATGCATGGTATTGATGTAATTCTCATTTGCTTGCTATGGTTGTATTGATGCTTAATGGTAACACTAAATGTTTTTATTCTAAATATTTTTGTGGGACCGAGCTTTTCTTAAATGTGGGATAAACCCTAAAAAGGTTTTATAACCACAACATTTAAAAAAGTTTTGAAAATTTAAGTCGCTCCGCCATAAACAGTTGACTCGCAACATTTTGTCGTTCTGTCAACCCCTTGCGTATCTTTGACTCACATCCCTTCGTCGTTTCATCATCAACCCTCCCAATCATGATAAATTGTTGGCTTACAACATTTTGCCATTCTGTCAACCCCCTCACGTATCTTTGACTAACAACCCTTCGTCATTTTGTCATCAACCATCCCAATCATGATACCATCCAAACAAGCAAACAACAAACATATAGAAGACTAATCTAGCCAATCAGTTTAAGCATATACTAAAATGTTTTATATCCTACCATGCAAGAATATTCACTGTCATGCGAGGTATAGTGAGGAAAATCATAGCGAGTAGGCATGCCAAACACGAAACGACCTATAATACTATAACTGATAAGAAACTAAGGAAATCTGATAACAATTAAGTAGATCCTTCACTAATCTCAATAATACTGAAATTATTATCAAATAAGGATTAACCAGTCGAGACGGTCGGGAGGCAAGATCAGTTCGGCATATAACTTTTCTAAAATCCAACACCATGCCAACGTGTCTATCCTAGACATTGTTCTCGTAAGTAGATTAATCATTAATAACTGAGATTAATGATTAATCTAATACACATGTTCATAATAACGACAATGGTTATATTTCATATCAAGTTATACTTAAGCGAAAGTGTAACTTACACGATTGATGAAATCTGAATAGCCATGCGCAAAACTTTGATGCCTACTTCCTTATATCCTTCTGAAACCTCTAGAGCTCTGCTATCGATACTACAGAACGAGAAGTCGAATCACGAGGGACGGAAATGCTTGAGGGTGTGTGTGTGTGTGTGTGTGTGTGTGTGTGTGTGTGTGTGAGAGACCCTAGACGAAAGAATGGTGCAAAGAAATGAGGAGGCTTTAGCCTCCTTTTATAGGCTGAATTTTGAAAAAGCGGCACATGATTTGAGAAGGCACGTCGCGCCCTCTGACACAACAGACTTGTCTTCGGCTTTCTTACATGCAAACGCTGGTCGGTGGAGTCAGTGCATTAAATGTGCTGTGTCGCGGTTTCTCGAGACTGCGTCGTGGTGATTTTTATAAAATTCACTAAAACTTATAAAAATCATAATTTATTCATAAGAACTACATTTTCGACGTTCTTTATATCCACACGTTCGTCTTGACGACTACTACAACTTTCATGTTGATCATTTTGGCTAAATGCAAAGGATTTTTACTTTCATTTTTATAAACAACGGTTTATATCTTTTTATCTCGAAAAATGAAAACGGGGCGTTACAGCTTGACCCATCTTCAATCCTTCTTCCCTTCCTGAAAACTTATAGTGTCGTAGATGCATGACTCGGATTTGATTATTAGTTGACAATTCACCCATTCTTGGTGTTTGGTGAGGGTTGCTACTAATATCCGTTGGGATCGGATACCTCGATATATAAGAAATCAACACAACAATAGCCAAACAAACAATAAAAATGACCACCAACCTTTCAACACACTTAGATTCCCTCGTAGCTTTTCATTGACCCTTTTATCTTAATCTCATTTATTCTATTATAAAAAAATCCTAACTAAGAATCTTTTTGTTATGGCATATAGATAACTACTTTTATGATATGGAATTCGAGTGAATCAGTTCTGCAAGATCAACAATTAACCTTATAGTGGTTTAAAAATAACTGTCATAACCGAAACGTTAATAACCGCATATCAAGATGTTTCAAGTACCAACATATGTTTCCCTTGGTTGTCTCTCATGTAATAAATAACAATTTTGATCATTAAAAGTTACTTGTTTTGTTATTTTGTATAGATTTTGTTTATTTTTCTGTTTTGTCATTTCATAAAAATGTTGGTTATTTAAAAATAAACATTTAAGCATAACAGCTTAAAACATCAATAATAATAATAAATTAATAAATAAATAAAAACTAGTATTATTTAATTTTTTTGCTATAAGCATAAAAAGGATACACACATAATATGTAATAATAGTGTCTTTTGAAAGACATTTTTTAAAACTATTATTTATATTTGCTACCGGAAATATCTTTGTCCACTTTTTTGATAAGCAGTTATCATATTAATACAATTACAATACAAAATTACTTTTTCTACATATACCATTTCAGAAGGTCTTTTATAACATAAAAAAAAAAAAAAAAAAAAAAAAAAAAGCATAACACTTTCGCCATTTCGTCTTAAGCTAAATTCAAAAGTAAAACATATGCATAATCAAACGGATCAACATGCATTTATCATCATCTGGGCCTGTTGGGCTTGATGAACCCTCGTAGATAATTAGATATACAAATTCCTAACTATATTCATAAAAGAAAAATACAAAGCCCATCATAATCCTACGAAACTAGATACAATTAACCATTTACAAAAAGAGTATGAAGACAATAATCATGCTTTTTTAGTTTCCTCATCATTCATTTTCACTTAACAATCAACTCTTTTCCACTATATAAAGTACATATTATAAAACACAAAATAAATAACTGCTGTTAAAATGGTTTATATACACAACAAAATTGATCAACCCAACAAGGGCAATATCGTCATTCTACCCTTTTAATATCAATAACAAACAACCGCTTTACATTCACTGAAATCATCTCCCACGAGCTTCAGACAATGAAACAGCCATAGCTAACATCATTTGTTCTTCAAAACTCTCATCTTGTAAGCCATATGCACCAATCTCCGATCCTTCTTCCCTTGCTACTGTACATGCTAGACCACCATAAGGTGATGCGGATGCGGTTGTTGCCACTGGTGGGGCCACGGCGGCAGAAACACGAAGCTCCGCCGCATATCTTGCTAACTGAGCAGCATCACCGTAATTACGTTGCCGCCTTCCGTCCTCCTAATCACCATCAATATTACAGAAATAGCAATGTACTTTTATCAGGTTTAAATGTCATTCAAATACAAAACAATTTTTACTGTTATAATTGGGTAGATACGAAAAAAAAATTGAAATTAAAATGTTGTAACGGAAATAAATAAAATTCGAATACTATTTTAATTAAGAAAAAATAAATGAAAGTGGGTTGATATTTCTTGTATTTAGCATTAATCAATATTAATGCAATAGTGGTACCTGAAATGAGAGCCATATGGCTTCCATAAGCATTATATTGTCAAGATCGAATTCATCATTTCTGCATTCACAACACCAATTAAGCTTTGCGAATAAAAATAATAACAAAAAAAAAAAACATAAATTCATACCTGTTATGCATAGATCCTGAAGGATTTGTAATTCCAGAATCACCAATAGAAACAATTTCATCATCATCACCTTCAATTATTCTGCTTGAAGAGCTCATATCTTGCCTTCTATGCATCCTTTCTTCTTCATCTTGAATTTCTCGTCTTCTCATTCTTATTTGTGCATCTATCACCCGTTGCTCTTCCTGAACATAATCAAATACCAGAATTGAGCTCAAGCACAATTTAAAAAAAAAAAAAAAAAAACAATCATAAATTAGTGCTTACAATTTGCTCCAACCCCTTTTCTTCTTTAGTCTTTACCCCTCTATACTCCACTGCATAGTTAAACGTTTTACAAAAGGGACACCTTAAGATTGTTAAGGATCAAAAATCAAAATCTTGGAGCACAAAATATGTTACAGGGTATTTTATAATCTTGGTTTAAAAAACTCAAAAAGGATACTGTGTGGGACGTGTTGAATTGGGCATCTTCATCTGTAGAAAACACTCTGAAGCAGAAGAAATAAACATTAGAACATAATCAGATTGTTTGTAAACAGAAAAATTTAAACGATAGAAGTAAATGAACTTTACCTGTACAAATGCCTTTCATGCAACATCTTGAACGATTTAGACTTGGATAATACTGAAATAGAAATACAAAATTAAACCACAATTGGATGACAACATAACATGCTAATAGAAAAATCAATCAGGTGATGTAAACAAGATTCAGTAATTGTAAAGCAATTTGAATAGAAACAGGAACACAGACCAAGAAGCAAATTGGGCATTCTTCAAGATCGCAGTTACAGTCATCGTCACCAGGATAACAAGGAGCAAGTTTAGAATCAAGTATGAGTTTACGAAGCTTTTTGTGATCTACATCCTTGTGTTGATACAACCCTTGAGGCCTTGTGTACTTCTCGTCCACTTGATGCCTCTTTCTAACAAGCTTATTCCCCATCGAAGACCAATCAGCAACTACAATTATTCGCTTAAATATCTTACAAAACCCTAATTTTAATCTCCGCCTGATACGACGGAATATCAAGAAACAAGAAAACACCTTCTTGAAAGAAGTAAATCGATGGCATTAACATCCTGCAATCAAGAAAAGCTCAAAAGAAAAGCAATCCTGTTATACCCATGAAAGTCAACGAACAATTTAACTTCGGATAAAATGAAATTTTAGATTACTTCGATCTGGGAATGTTATTTACAAAGAACCCATGTGATAAAACGAGACCTTGAATTTGTTGAAGCTATGAAAAAGATGGTTGCGACTGAAATCAAAAACTATGGGTGCAGGTAGAGTACAGAGGAAGGGTTACGAGAGATTGACAAAAGAATGAAAGATAGACAAATAGGGAACACAATCAGAACTTTCTCTGATGATTTACGTGAGAAAGAGAGATGCCAGGAGTGTTTGTACGTATGTCTGTTCTGGTTAATATTTCTTGATTGATGATATAATGAAAAATGGAATAATACTCTTAAGATCTCATCCAAACTGGTATATATAATCCGTTCCTGTTAGGTGATTGATACAAAACAATCCACATAGATTGTTTAATAAATAATCAGTTTTTTAATATATCTTATACCTTCTTCTTTTGTTCTTATATATCTTTCTAACCATTTGGAATGATAAAAAGTTTCTTAAAATATTATCAATCTTATTTAAATATTTTGTTCCTATATATCTTTCTAACCATTTGGAATGATAACAAGTTTCTTAAAATATTATCAATCTTATTTAAATACGAGAGATGTCATCATTTCACATGAGTAGGAAAATATATAGGAACAAAAAGTAGAAGGATATTTAATTTTTCTAAATACAATTAGGTTGTGTTTAGTTATAGAAAAAATGGTTTTCGTTTTTCATTTTCAGTTTTCAGAGAAAAAAAAATACTATGTTTTCATTTTTAGTTTTCATTAGAAAATTCAGAAAACACGTTTATTAAAAATTTATTTATTTTTTATTTTAGTAAATAAAAAAACGTGTTTATATGTGTATTTTTTTATCAGTTTTCATTTTTAGAAAACAGTAGTGGTGATAAAATGGGGGTGGGGATGGGTGGGGTGGCGGTGGTAGTGGCAGCGGCGATGGTGGGGTGGATGGGTAGGGGTAGGGTAGTGGTGGCAACGTTGGTAGTGGTGGCGACGACGGAGACGGTGGTGGTGGTAGTGATGGTGATGGTGGTGTTGGGGGTAGGGTAGGGTGGGTTAACGGTGGCGATGGTCGCGGTGCTGATCAGGGTAGTGGTGGTCACGGCGACGACAATGCTAGTGGTGAGGTGATGGTGGGTCGGTGATTGCGGTAGTAGTGGTGGTGGATGTGTGTGTGTGGGTGTGTGTGTTTGTGGAGGTGGGTGTGGGTGTGGGTGTAAGGTTGTAGGGGTGGGGTGGAGGTAGGGTTAGTGGTGGGGTAATGGTGGTGGCGATGGTGGGTCAGTGATTGCAGTAATGGTATTGGTAGGTGGGAGGGGGTCTGAGGTGTGAGGTGTGGGTGGGGGTAGTGGTTGGGTAATGGTGGTGGTGATGGTGATGGTGGTGGTGGTGGGTGGGTGGGTGTGTGCGTGTTGGTGTTTGTAGGGGTGGGTGTGGGGTTATAGGGGTGGGGATGTTGGGAGTGGGTGTTTGCTTTTATTTTAGAAAAAAAAATTAGAATTAGAAAAATGTAGAAAACAATAATTATCAGTTTTCATGAAAAGTTTAGAAAAATTGTTAAATTAAACGTGTTTTCAAAATTTTCATATTTTTTGGAATTTTTTTCCGAAAAACAGCTAACTTTTCCGTAACTAAACGCACCCTTATATTTTTTTTATTGATTTCCAAAACCATACCCAAATATTTGCCATCATTGAATTTTTAACTAAATCATTTTTATATCTTTGTATAGAAATCTATTTTGGATTTTGGTATGTATATTATATTTTTTAAGCTTTCTGCCAATATGTGTTTTGAAATCCGTAATGTTAGCATTTAAAATATTTTATACAAGAAAGCATTATTATATGTTTGTATTCTTTGTATTTTTGTTATATTTCATGGGTGTGGACCGTTATACTGATTTGAACATTTTTTATAAGTTCAAATATCTATTTTGGAATCGGTCTTCGAGTTTTTAAATTTCAGACATTTTCTTCATGTTCCCGATTTACTTAAATTTATTACGTGGATGTTTGTATCAATATGCCAGTAAAGACGTGTATTTTGGGTGTTTTAGCATAATTTTATAACATATTCATAAAAGTTTCAGAATTGATCATTGATATTTCAAAGTCCTCAAAGCATAAGGAATTTAACTTCTTGCTTTATCTTTCTTCTTGTCACATGATGATAATAGTGGAAGCATAAAGCATCTAAAATAGTTGTTGCTTATTAGAAATGGATCTGAAAATGTCATTTATATACGGTTGTAACGTCATGTTTATTTAATAAATAAATAAACAAATTAATGAATGGATAGTAGTCCTAAAATCAATAATTATATTGTAGGGTGTTGGTTTCGAGGAGTTAATTGGCATAATTTAGAAGTTCAGGGTTAAAGGTGTAAGTTTCGGATTGATTTTGTAAGTATTTATAAAGGCAGGGACTAAATGATAACTCTTGGGACTTTATTTGAAAAGATTTTGGAAGCTGGGGGGGCGGGGGTAATATGTCGGATTTAATTTGAAGGAGATTCCCAAAGCCAGGGTAGAAGGGTAAATATTGGGTACTTTTGAAAGGATCCTTTGGGAAGGGACCATTTATGTAATTATGCAAAAGATTTAAAGTGGTCGGGGTTATAACCCGCCACCCTCGCCATGTCAAAATCCTAAACCTAATATTCTATGCACCCGCCACTCTCACCTCACCCATCTCCCGACGCCGCTGCCACCTCTGACCACCCAGCACCGTCAAACAGCTCCTGTCGCTGGCAATAACGGACACCGATGGAAACCGGGATCGGGCGCTGCATCCGTCAAAGACTGGAGAAGGAGTTTGCGTCGTGGGTGTCGCCGATTCGTTGCCTCCAACCGCCACCATTGCCGGGAACAAGAACCGAGAGGTGAACCACCGAGATTTGCTGCCCTGTTGCGCTGAGACAGTGAAGATATAGCCGCTGCTGTCCGCCATCTCACGCCACCTCTCTTCTCTATTTCTTGTTGTTGGCGTGGCTTCGTGCACGGTGGTCTCCGTTTCTCAGGTCACGACCACCGCCGCTGCATGGCTCGATTCTGTTACTCGAGTCGCTGCTTCAGCCATTGCAGACTGCCGTCATGGAGCCGCTGTCGTCGCAAATCACCACCGCATGACGCCAGTCCTTCTACCTTCTGTCGTCGCCGCCCACCATAGGTGGGTGTTGGGTTTATTTTTCCGAAGGAGTGTATTATGAAGTGAGTGTGTGTGAGTTTTGTGTGGCTGGAAAACCTAGGAGGCTACCACCACCTCCACCGTGAGGTGGTGGCTGCCACCGTGTACCACCACAATGGTGGCTGTGTATGTTTATATTAGTGTGTGTGTGTGTGCTTTATTGAGTTGTATATTGTAAATGGTGCCCAAAATAATAATATAAATCTCAAAACCACCACCGTAGGGTGGTGGCTGCCGCCTCCTGCCGCCACCAGCCGTCGTGTTGGGTGGCGGTGTGCTTGTTTGTTTGATTAGTTGGGATGTTTGGACAAAGGGACTGAAACCCTAATGGGCCCAATGAAGCCCTAATTGCCCTAAAAGCCCAAACATGTGACTGATGGGCCTAATGAACCCTAATTGATCAAAAGACCTAGCTATTGGGCCTATTGGGCTAAGATGGGGTTGGAAACCCTAATTAGGGTTTAGAAAACCCTAATATTGGATTTATGGGCCTTGGACTTATTGGGACCCACTTTTGGGCCATTGGAATTGGACTATGTATTAAGCTCGATTACACCATATGATTTGTCTAGTAGAGTGATGGACTTAATGGATTAAGTCCTTAATGGGTTAAGTGAGAAACACTTAACCCTGATCGTCATTTTATGTGAAACCCTAATTTCACTTGGCTTTATGTTGGGCCTTTCTATTGGGCTTTGGTGTTCGGGCTAATAATGGGCCATCCAAGATCAATCAATGGACTAGAATATTTAGATGGGATTTAGGGTAAGGCCCATATTGTAACATCCTGTTTCGGGTCGTCAGTGGTTAGGGTTCGTGGGCTGCAACCCGGACATGAGGAAGTCTCGCGGTTGCGACGAGTTGCTAGAAGTGTAAGGCATCTCGTCACCTTTCCGTGGGTATGAGGTTCTTTGGAAATGGAGTCATAACGAGGAAGCGTTGGAAGTTTGAAGTGTTGGCAGAATAAGTCCCTTAATTTGATAAAGGCGGCAGCTGAGTACGTTGGGCGTACGTGTGTGTACGCTTAGCGTACTCATGTGCATGGTTTTTAAGCGGAGCCACCTAGTACGCTGGGCGTACCAGTGGGTACGCTGGGCGTACTAGGCACAGAGTGAAAACCCTAATTTTAGGTGTGTCCCTATATAAAGAATGAGATGGCCTCATTCCTGGCCACCACCCTCAGATTTCAAACCCTCCTAAACCCTAAACCTTAATTCATGGAGTTTGTGGATGCATTTGAGAGCCTTTGAGTGTTGTAAGTGTTCTTGTGAGATTTTGGAATGGAGAAGGAGCATGGAAGAGAATAGAGTTGGAGTCCAGGTTTTGGATCTGAGCTTTGTTGTGGATGGAGCATCATTTGAAGGTATAAAGCTCAAATCTTTCCCATCCTTTTGATTTGTGCATGTTATGGTCCATTTTAGGGTTTTTGGTCCCAAAGCTTGAAGCTTTATGAGTTGTTGCACTCCAGAGCCTAATGTTTGTCCTTTAGAGTATTTCTAGTGGAGAGGATCCATAAAAATGAGGTCTTGGACGTTGGTATCAAGCCATGTATGAGTTATGAGCTTTTTGAGATAAGAAAGTGGGTGTTTTGTGTGTTAGTGACCATATCAGGCATGCAAAGGCTTAAAGTCACTGACTTTATGGAGTAAGAGCTTTTAGGGAGTCCGGATCTGAGAAATGAGCTAAGGTCTTAACAGGTTAAGACCAAGAGAATGGACTACGCAAAGCTGGGCGTACGCCCAACGTAATTCCAGTACGCCCCACGTACTGGGTTGGTGTCCCCGATCAGATTCGTGCATGCTAGTGTACGCTGAGCGTACCAAGGGAGGTACGCCCCGCGTAACCTCTCTGTGAACTTTTGGGCTGAATTTATTATTGGGCCTTAAGGGTTGGGCCTGGATTTTTGGGCTTGTGTATTAGTGATTTTGAGCAGAGAAATATTATATTGTGCTTTGGGCCCTTGAGTTGGGCTTGCCCTTTAGATTGAGAGTTGGGCCTTGGGAGAGCCCATTTATTATTAGGCCTTGGTGGGCCCAATGGGTTTTAGGTTATTAATGGGTTGGTTAATGGTCTACCCTTAGACATAATGAGTGAGAGTTTGGACTTAGTTCCTAATTGGGTTAATTGTGGGTTTGGCTCAGAGTTAGAGGCCGGTGCGCAGTAGCAGCGTTTTTTAGGGGCTATTCTTCATCCGAGGTGAGTCTTCTCACTATACTTACCATGAGTGGTATCCTTGTGTGACTAAGATGTCTTATGTGCTTATTTGTATGTTGTGATATTCTGCATTATGTCTCTGTGATTTATCCTGAGTATTGTATTTATGAGCTTGTTGAGTTAGGACCAGAGGGTCCACCTGAGTTCTGGGGCTGGAGGGTTCTACTGAGACACATTGACCGGAGGGTCTTATCTGAGTATAGCCATGAGAGGCTACTGAGATGTGTGTGGTATTTTGGGGAACTCACTAAGCTTCGTGCTTACCGTGTTATGTGTTATGTGTTTCAGGTTTTTCTCAGAATCGCGGGAAGGCACCAACTCGATTGTACACACGAGAGAAAGAGTTATGTTTTGAGGATCCTGGATTATTAATCAAACAATGATGGAGATGGGTTTTGTAAACTAAATAAATGAGATTTTGTGAAATTCATTATGAGAATTATATGATTTTAAAATGAAAATTTTGTTTGGAAATTTACGGTATTACACATATAAGGGTGTGGCCCAATTTGGAAAATTGGGCCATAGATGGGCCATAGTTTGGGCCTTAATGATTATATAATATTGGGCCATTAGAATGTCGAATGTTGGACTGGACTAAATGGTTGGGCCTTATGGTAAGACCTTGGAAAGGTTTGGGGCCAATTTGGAAAATTGGGCCATATATTGGGCTTTGACTCATAGTTGACTTTTGGGCCTTTGAATTGGGCCTTGGGCTTGGCCAAAGCTAAGTTAAGGGTAAAGTAGTATTTACCCCAAGTATGTACTTATGGTTATGAGTTGGAACCCAATTATTAATTAGGTGATGTTTGATATTGACAGTTCGAGAATCTGTCATCCAGCAGCTGGGATTGTGTCTACGAGACTTCAGCAGTGTGAGGTGAGTTACCTTCCAGTAGAAGTGGGTCTAAGGCCACAATGTCGGCCCACTAGTAGGAGTTGTTTGTTAGATGATTGTCTTTGTGATAATTATCTAGTATGCTCTTATTTGTTATGTTTGTGTGCTAGGATGCAATGTGATACATGTTAGTAGTAGTAGGGGTGAAATAGTCCCCGGATACCGGTTGAAAAATACCGAAGGGGTCGTCAGAAACCCATGCATGCCTAGCAGTATGTTTATGTTATGTATTATGTGGTAGTGGTAGGGGTGAAATAGTCCTCGTTATCCGGTTGAAACAGACAGAAGGGGTGGCCAGCACCCATATATGCTAGGCAGTTATCTTGTTGAAAGAGACCGAAGGGGAGGCCAGCACCCAGATATGCTAGGCAGTTATCCGTTTGAAAGAGACCGAAGGGGAGGCCAACACCCAGATATGCTAGGAAGTTATCCGGTTGAAAGAGACCGAATGGGAGGCCAACACCCAGATATGCTAGGCAGCTATCCGGTTGAAATAGACCGAAGGGGACGCCGGCATCCAGATATGCTTGGAAATGTATGTTATTGTATGGTATGTGGTATGATGGGGGAACTCACTAAGCTTTGTGCTTACGGTTTTCAGTTTTGATTTCAGGTACTTCGTTTTCAAAGGAAAGGAGTCGGCTCGATCGCAACGCATCACACTATATTTCTGCACATGAGATCTTGGGGATTACACTCTGATATTGTTTTATGATAACATGTTTTGATTATTTCTACTTTGGTTTTGACATGAGATGTTATTATGGATGTTTCTATACTAATTGGTTTTATAATAACTTAATTAAAAATGAAATTTTTGGTCTTGAGTTTTTGGATGTTACAAGTTGGTATCAGAGCCTTGGTTTGAGGGATTTGGGCACACTCCCGGGTGTATCTGAACTCAAACTAAGGACTTGGTATGAAAATTTTCAAAAGTAAAAACCCTTTTATAAAAAGAAGTTTGAATAGAATTTGAAAAGAGAACAGAACTTTAAAAAGAACAAAAGTGTGTGATGCGTGCAATCAGCCGAGCTCAAGTAAGTTTTCCCCAAGATACCCATACATGTTATGTTATGATATGATATGATATGGTTATGAGAACTGCATGCTAGATTAGGGTTGAGGATCTAGGAGGATGCCTTATATGCCTATTGTATGTGCTTGTAGACTTGCATGCTAGTACTGATCAGTCAGTGATAGGATAGCCTGTTTAGGTTATGCCTGATTGTATGAGCCTTTGAATTGCACGTACAGATTCCTGATTAGAGGATAGAACGGTTTGATTGGATTATGATGGTTAGATTTTCCATTGTCTGAATGTTGTTTGCTTTGTGCTTTGTGGGACTCTTTGTGATGTGAGTTAGCTACTAAGTGAATATACTAAGTCACATGGGACACAGGCCGGATAATCTCAGAGTGATGGACTTGACCCTATTGCGCAACTCTTGTCTGAGTCGAACCGTTCTAAGGATAGGTCTCTTACTCGAAGGATTATCTGATCTTTGTTGCATATGGCTATATTCATAAGGTAGCTAGTTGACATTACTCGGAATCTTTCAGCAGCTGAGGATTGGGTGAGTTCGGGAACCTAGGAAAGCCTAGGATACGTTTCAGTGGGTTAGTAGTGAGGTTCAGTGAGACTTGGGTGTAC